TTTTTTTTTTTTTTTTTTTTTTTTTTTTACTTCACTGCTTTTTTTAGGAATACCCTCAACTACATAAGAGTTGTATTTCATGGAGAAACTTTTAAAATAATCTTTCACTATCAATTATCTTTGCCTCCTCTGAAGACTGTTCAGTGTGGTTAGATTATTCTAAAGCATGAAATCATCTATTTAAGCTCAGCAGAAACATTTTTTTTTTCCCTCAGAGGAAAGCATTTTGCTGGGTACATTTAAATAAAAATTGTAAATTATGAAATGAGAGCCTTTAAACAAGATTTCTCTGTAGCAAATCCAATAGTTCTTCACTAACAATTCATCATCAGGAAGACAATTTTGTATTGCTTACCAATCAGTAATCTGGAAACCATTTTTGTTTCATGCTCCAGCTTTTCTTCTTTAAGAGAGAAATTTGAAACATCTTAATGAAGGGTATGTGCACGGGAGGCTAGATAGTGCTGAGGGTGTGGTTTTTAGATATTTTGTCATTTGGATTTTTTGGTCAGGATCCTTAATGTTTTGCATCAGCTTGGGCTTTTAAATTAGATGTGAAGTAAGACTTCTTTCTACATTTTTATAGTTAATTTAGTGAAAGATGTGAAAGTGAAAGCTTGTGAAAGATGCTGGGATTGGCAGCCCCGCAGACTGAAGTCCTCTGTTCATCCACAGAACAGGTACAGCACGGGCAAGATTTACCTACCCACCCTCAGCCCTGATCTGGAGGGACCACCAGTAGGGGTGGGAGGGTAATTCAGCTTCTGAGGCCCTTTCGCTCTTTGGAGTCTTTGCTGAGGTGACTTACAGAGGTGACCACTGCAGTGAAATTTTTCTTAAAAAAAAAAAAAAAAAAAAAATGGAAACACAATTAGGAACTAGATGGACATTTCCAGCTCACTTCTGAAAGACCTGTGAACAGCAGTCAGTAATTCTTGGACTTCTTTTTCTTATTTCAGATCCAAAAAACTAATCCAAGAATCTGATCAGCACCTGAAAGATGTAGAAAAAATTTTACAGAATGACAAACGGTATCTAGTACTGGACTGTGTGCCAGAGGAGAGGCGTAAACTGATTGTGGCATATGTTGATGACCTGGATCGCCGGGGTCCACCCCCACCTCCTACAGCGTCAGAGCCCACGCGACGATCAACAAAATAATTCTAAATACTCTTCCACAGGGGTATCCATTCAAAACGCTTGCATGAGCCAGTTTTCAGGTTTTTACATATATGTGCATTAGTCAACCTATTGCAAAACCATCTGACAAACAGAAGGAGAAGCATTTGTGAACAGTTTCTGAACAGAACACTTTGGAAATATTTATGCTTTTCTTTGTGTGGCATGACTGACATACATACTCAAATATAGGCTGTCTCTAGTAAATCTTAAAATCTCGAAGCTAAAATTCATCCTTTTATGAGGTGTGGAAGTCAGTGACTTGGTGGCGTTCTTTCTAGCAGTGTTAATACATGCAAGAAGTGAGAGCATTTGTGGCTTGAACTTGCCAGATGCAAATACCACAGACTCCAAGAAAACCTGAGTTGGGGTTTGTTTTGTTTTGATTTTTTTTTTTAAAGCGGGTAAAAGAGAAAACACTGAAAATCGAATTCTTCCAGAGGCTATGATTATTATAATGGACAATACTTTTACCTTTGTCTCTAAAGAACAGATTAGTTTTATTTGTTCACTTATGTGCTTTGATTATCCCCTCTGAATTATAGACCAAGTCTTGTTGTTTAGCCTAAGAGAAGATTAATGTAGTAATTTCTTCTCAGGTATGGAACCATGGTCATAACTAACATGTTGGCCAGAATAGAACCACTGGTTAAACATATTTTATTCGCCAGTAAGTGATCTTTATCAATATTCTGGATTAGACAACAAATTACCTTTCTGGATGTCTCTTGTAAACTATACTCCTGTTTGAATGTTAAACTTTTGTTGCTAAAGTTTAATTTTAAGATGTTTGAATGTTCAGTTTATGTATTTGAACTACAATAAACCAACCCTTTTTATATATCTGTACTGTATATGATTATTGTTACTTAATTTTTAAGAGCTTATTTTAACCTGTTTTTAAAAGAAGCAGCAAATAGAATTTTGCACAAAGTAAATTGACTTTAAATAGTTTTTAAAGGTTTGAATGTAATCACTATTTGCAGTATAAAAAGGAAGGAGTTTGTAGAGAATCCTTTTGGTGCTCAGTGTCTTAGCAGTGCCTTATTGCCTTATAGCAAGAAGATGCTGGGTTTTTAATTTTTTTGTCTTTTGTATTAACGTATGATGGTTTGCGCCTTTTTGGCATTCTTTCAGCCTGTGTACATCACACCATGAATCAGTTCCCAATTTATATATCAACTTTACCTCCCGAGTTAAAAAAAATCTTTTTATTTTATCCCTTCATAGGTTGCCCGCTTCAGAGTGCCACATAAATAAAATGTTTAAGAAAATATATATGTTAATAGAATAATTTATTTTTCATTATGTCATACCTACTATGATTGTAACAAATCCTAGAAAGGAATACCAACAGTTCTTTATTTATATGTTGTTTGTATACAGTCACAGACACACATTCACATCCGTGTTATATAGTTCTTAGCTTAAATCTATTAAGTGTCACAGAAATTATGTATGTAGGAACCTGACATTGATCAGACTAAGGTCTCCAGCTATAAAGTTGATACACAGGATATGTTTTTTCATTTTATTTGTACAAAGGCTCCAACTCTGTCTCCTAGGCTGGAGTGCAGTGGCACCATCATCGCTCACTGTAACTCTGGGTTCAGTGATCCTTCTGAGTAGCTGAGACTGCAGGCATGCATTACCATGTCTCCTCCTCCAGCTTTCTTTTTTTAGTAATTTTTTTTTTAGAAATTGTTTTATTCTTTTGCTCAGGCTGGCCTCAAACTCCTGTCCTCAAGCCATTCTCCCGCCTCAGCCACCCAAAGTGCTAGGATTACAGGTGTCAACCACCACACCTGGCCGCCTTTTGTTTCCATTTTTCTCTTTGAAGTTCATTTTTATAAGTTCATTGAGTGATTTTTAAGTACTGTGAAGAATGAAATTGAAGTGCTTGCCAAAAGGAGCACAGCTATTATGTAGTATGTAGAAATATGACTGTCTGGGAAGGTAAAGTTTCTAGAATGTTTTAATTTTGTTATTCTGAATTCCACATAGTATTTGTTTGCCCACTTACTACATTGTTTTTCGAAGTAGAGAAGTGAGAAGAAAAATGGTGATATCTGTTCCAATTTCCTGCTTTTGTTTTAAAGTATCTGGGTTTGATCAGATAAGATGCAAATCAAACTTCTCTTAGCAGACTTTTTAAGGGATCAGGTCAGGACTTTGTGTATCAGTTTCTTAATGAGGTTTATTGTAATTGCACTTTGTTCCAGTGTCTGCCTCTTGATTTGGTACCTGCTAGCAAACTCCGAAAATCAGTTTGCCCTGTGTTAATGTCAGACAGTTCCATAAAGCTCCATTGTTCCTAATATGATTTTGAAATAATTCAAGACAAAGACAGCTTTAAATCTCCAAAAACTGTCTGAAGTAAAACATAATTATTTTTACTTCTTTTCAAGTTAAAGTGTCAAACCCTGGAAGCTTACATCCTACATTTATGACATATAATGAACATAAAAATTATTAATTCAAATAATCAGAGACAAGGAAAATCCTTTTTATAACTACCATACCACAAAACAATATTTTGGATTCTTGGGTTAAATTTTACTTTGTTTAAATCCATAAGCTTCAAATAAAATTTATAATAAAGGAAGTAAAAAGAATATATCCCTACCTACCTCCTGTGTCAAAAAGCAAACTGCGACCACTTAGGAAAAAGCAGAGAATCTGGAAACCCATGGACAACATAAAAAAGAAAATCTTTTTTTTTTTCCATAATATATTCTTTATATTTCAGATTCTCCATTGCTTGGTTTGCCCTAAAGGCATTTCTATTCTTAGGGAATCTTTCAGTGAAAATACCCCAGAGTTCCATAACAAAGTAATCAAGAATCATGGATGAATGTCATTATACTTAAAAGGGGAAGAAATTCATGTTTTATTGGATATGTTTTACCTTGCTATAAAATGAATGGTTATTGCCTGTTACTCAAATTTTACCATATGTCTGGGTATAAAACTTTACTGCTTTTCTTTCTGCATTGCCCTTATGCTTTTTATTTTGCATTCTTAACCAAATTCTGTCTGTGTTGAGTTTTCTCTGTTTGATATTAATCTCTTTTCCCAGGTTGCTCAATTATTTTTATAACTTAGAAATCCTATGATATTTTAAAAGTTGAGTAGGGTTCAAGTTCAATGTTATGGGTAAGTTTAGTACTGTTAACAAGAAAGATCACCATCCCCATCTTCTGTTTATATTTGAGGAGTAACTAATACCTATATCATTAACTATGGTTTATCTTGTGAGAAAGGAGATATTAGGAGGCTCAAATTTCTGCTTATGGAAGAGTGTTTCTCACATTTTGAAAGTGAAGAGAGAGCATTTTTTAAGTCCTTTTTTTTTTTTTTTTTTTTTTTTTTTTTCCCATGTCAGACTATTGAATGCCATTGGAAAGCTGCTAAAATTCTCAGACTTTGAAACTGAAGACTCATTCAGGTAGCTTTAAAAAGTTCATTGAAGCAGACTTTCATATAAGTTTGAATTTATTTAAACTTAGCCAAAACCAGCCATGGCTTGAAATTAGTCCAGAATTGGAATAAGGTTCTGTTTCGTTTTCTTTGACCCGTCACAAACATAATGATATGGACTTTCATCAAGTAAATTAGCATTTATTAAACAAATGAAGATGACTCATTAAAATTTATCATTAATGTGTTAAAAATCTCAAGTGAAAGTAGATTTTGAGCTTTGGTTATGTGAAACACAATTTGGCAGGTGAAATTAGGACCAGTAGGTTCAAGATGAAACTGAAGGTAAAGGGGCTCAGCCTTTGACAGAGAGAACCTCTACTTGAGACTCCAGCCAGTCCACTACAGGGCTGGTCCTAAGGGGTACCTAGTAAAATCATTGTGAACAAGTGACAGAATAGCTGCACTGTCTAATCACTTTGACAGCAGCATCTTTACACGGTACTACTTAAATACTGTGGGAACCCGAGTTCTAACTCTGAAACAATTCTTACTTCTAACATGGTTCTCTACTTACCACGTTGCATGTTTGGTAGGTGTAGATTGTGAAGTATTTTTGTAATTCCTAATGGTAATAATTTTATCACAGTTTGTAAAGGCAGCAATACTGATAAGCAGCAGTACAAGTAAATACAATAATCACAATTTGTTTTGCTTTGAAACTTAAATCTATTTAACACATTCCCCTGTCTCTTGATCTTCATGTTCCCAGGGGATAGGGTCATTGTCCTGTACAGAAGGGACTGTGTCTCTCTCATGCCAAAACTGCTCTACATCAGGAAGGATGGGAATCTCTGCCTTCTCAGCTTTCCCTTTGCCAGAGGAGGGAGAGCTGGGTTTCTCTTTTTCTGGTGTGGATGCTGGGGACTCTGGAGATGGAACCTTGTCAGGAAGGCCCTCTGAGTTGCCAGCTGGTGTTTCCTGAGACGCTGAGACAGTTGGAGGTTTTTTGGTTATCATCCATTTCCATAAGCCTTTCAAGCCTTCTCTGAACTCCTCCGACATCACAAGAAAAATGAGAGGATTTGCTGATGAGATGGAAAACATCAGGACTTGAGACAGGGCTATGAAACCTTGCGGTGGGGCCGGACCTGCAGCCTTCAGATGCCATACCCATAGCCAAGCTACCCACTCAGGGAGCCACAGGAGAGCAGACGTATTGGCAATGCTCAGCAGCATCACTGTGACCTGCTTTGAGCGTATCTGGTTTCTAAGATTTTGAGTCTTAGTTCCTCGTTTTTTACATTGGCCATAAGCTCTCCAGAAATAAAAGCTGGCAAAAAGTAATGGAAGGCCAAATGCCAGGAGTGGGTAGAGCTTACCAAACATCGACATAAATTCTTTGGCCACGGCTGGTACATCCACGAGGCACATCTCCACACCTGCATGATGCCTGATGGTGCTAAAGAACAATTCCGGCAGGGGTAACAGGCTAGCCACAGTCCAGATGGCCACCAGCACTGACCAGATGGTGCAGTTGTGAATACTCACTTGCTTGGCTGGGTCACTTGCGTACATGAAGCATACTTTGGCCACCACAACGATTGTCAGGCTCTTGGCTGCCATGCATGTGTGGATGAACCAGTCAGAGGACTTGCAGACAAACCAGCCTAGATCCCAAACACTTTTGGAGTATGCTGTAGCTCGGACAGGTGCAGAAAACAGCAGGAGGGAGAGATCAGCCAGACTGAGATTCAGAATCAAGGAGTGGATCATGGATGGCTTTCCCTTCCAAGCATTGTGAAGGAGGATGCCAGTCACACACAGGTTTCCCACGAAGCCCACCAGGCAGACAGCCACCAAGACAGCTGGGATGATAGTTCTCCAGTCCTCGGAATCAGAGGGCAGGTACCCTCCGGCAAAGTGGAGGTGAGCAAAGGACGTGTTCATGCTGCTGGAGTTAGAGTCTGCAAAGGCAGCAGCCAGCATCACCCTTTCCATCCAGTTTCTCCTTACAGAAGTTAGCTTCTTATTTAGGTTTGTCTTGCTTCCTGGGCTCTTTTGCATAGGAAATAAGTACTCTGTCGTCAGTGTCAAATGACACCACTGGATCCTCCCCTTGCTTACTTCCTGAGAGCAGAACGTGGAAGGAGGCTGGCTGTTAAGCTCTTCTCTGCTGTGTACAATATGCTTGTGACAGTACTGACTGTCAGGCAGCAGGAGCACATGGCTGCTACTCATTAGCAAGTCTAATACCAAATCGTCAGCCCTGTGGAGTAATACAAATATACCCATAAATGATGAATGAAGAAAACATACATGTAAGTGGTGTTATGTTCCTGGGGGTCACTAGAGCCGGTCAAAGCAATTATTTTCAACCATGTGTTCCTAAAATCTTGATTGCAGTCTTTAATTTAGTGAACACTTCATCTGAACCAAGTTCTTTGAACTTCGCCTGATAGCCTGATTCAGTGAGTCTGAAGTAGGGTCCAAGAAATTATTTCTAACAAGTTCCCACGAGACTTTGATGCTGCAGGTTGGGAGACCACACTTTGAGAACCACTGTTTTAAACTGAGAATTGTTGCTTCCCCCACCCACTCTGCAGAGATGAGCTTCCTCTTCTTTTCCCCAACTCTTGCAACCACCTCAGTCCCATCAACAGCTGGCTGAGATCAAACACAGCTGGATAATGAAAAAAAGTTGGAAAGAAGTCCTATTTTAAAAAAATCTAATTATGGATGACTCTAAGTTTAGTCAATTGTGAGTTTTTAGAGGTAATTTTAGATCTCCAAATTAGAACTGCTTTACATCCTAAAAAGACTTCAACAAGTGATGGTGATGAAGGCAACTGCATGATGAATTAAGCTGCTTTTCAGAGAGCATTCCTAGAGGATTTACCAAGACAAGAGAAATGAAAGAAAAATCAACAATTTCTATGTGGAAGGCATTTAAGATATATATATATATATATAAATTATATTTTAAAGTTGGTAAAAAAAATTTGGGCTGGTCACGCTGGCTCATGCCTATACAGTAATTCGAGAATTTGGGGAGGTGGAGGTGGGAGGATTGCTTTAAGGCCAGAAATTCAAGACCAGCCTGGGCAACAAAGTGAGACCCCCTGCGCCCACCTCTACCCAACCCAACAAAACCAAACAAAGCCAGGCATGATGGTGTACACTTGTAGTCCTAGCTACTCAGGAAGCTGAGGTGGGAGGGTTGCTTAAAGCCCAGGAGTTCGAGGTTGCAGTGAGCTATCATTGTGCTGCTGCACTCCAACCTGCGTGACAGAGTGATACTGTCTCTAGAAATAAAAGTTCTCAGATAAGATGAGTTGGTGGAACTAGTCCTGAAATTTAAAAGTAGGCAATGGATACTCTGGGGGGATTAGAGGAGCTCGAAACGTTCAGAGAATGGGGTTTGTGGGATTAATTTGAAGATACATGCTACATTGAGTGTGGCTAGACAGAAAGGCTAAAACATGATATAGAGGAGAGTATCCTGCTGCATTTGGATCTCTGGATTCTGGCACTATGCTTTCACCAGTTTTTTGCAAGTAAGGACAAGTCTGACATTTAAAAATTGTCTCAGTGTTCTAGAACTCTACATAAGTACTACAATAAAACTACTGGGACAGCAGTCAGTGGTGTTGGGTTTCTTTGTTTCCAATTCTGTTTCCTTTTGCTTTCCTTCCTTTTACCTCTGGAAAGCAGTCGTTCCTATGGAACAGTATAGGTATTGATTGACTTACGACCTATGCAACTTACGACCATTCGACTTTACGACCACAATCGCTAGCCACGACTGCTCCGTGTCTGGTAGTGCAAACGTTGCCCAGCTGGGCGTACGACAGTGCGGACCAGCTTCCGGCAGCACTACCATCTCCGCGTGCACCATTTCAACTGTTATCCCAGACTCGGTACAGCAATTTGTGTTTTGCGATTTGGATATTTTTCATCAAACCCCTCCCAATAAACTTCTTATACATTTTGAAGCAATGGACCCAAACATCAAACGATTTGCAAGGATTGAACGGATGGCGCACGATGTGTTTTGTCCGTATAGTGAAATTTATGAAGAAAAAAAGAAACATACAATTCAGACAAAGCTCACCATGTTTATGAAAAAACCAACTCCGGTAACCCCAACTGCTGCCTCAGATGACGAATCAACGATCCGCAGCCAAGCACCAGCGGCCAATAAAATGTTTCGTACATGTTTATATATTTTGATATGTTTTGCAATTGGGAAAATGTTTCCTATGGTATTTTTTACACCTGTATTTTGTATTTTTGTATGCACCTGTATTTTGTAATTTTGTATGTTTTGCAAATATTAAACCAGTTGCACTGGTAATGCAGTGTTTTACGTAAACCTGACGAATGTAAAAATAAGAAACAAAATGGTGTAGAGATGATACAATGCCATAAAATGAACAAAGAAAATCATGATATATAATAATAAAGAAAATTATGATAAAATATGACTTAAAGATTTTTATAACATCATTTCACAGTACTGTACATATAGCCTACTCAACTTACGACCAAATCATGTTACAACTGGTCTGTCGGACCCAATCATGGTCATAAGTCGAGCACTAGCTGTAAATTGGGACAATACCTTATGCCAGCAAGGCACAGTAACTCCCAGTAACAACTTAAGGATGAAATATCCTTAAGTCTCAACAGCATGGGTGTGAAGAGGTCCACTCCATCTTATGGGGAAGGAAATGGGGGAGGGAGCAGAGTAACATTTTGCAGTTTATAGGCTATATATGTGGAAGAGATTCCTTCAGAACCAAGAAACAAATATACTACTTCACACTGTGGCTTATATAGTCAAGCTTATGATATTCAAGTCTCCGGAAGCTGTATAAGACAAAAAGCTAAATGAGTTCAAGCCACCTTTAATACCATGGAAATTTGATTCTTAATTGAGGGAAACTAAAGACTGTCCTGTGGTACTTCCCAAATCTATTGGTACTGACTCAGGGAAGCACCTCCTGGTGCTCCAGCTAGTGACAAAGTGTTTGGAGAAGGAGAATGAACTTTCTCCAGTCTTTTGGGAGAAATTGAACTTTTTATTTAAAAATAATTGCTGCTGGGCACAGTGGCTCACACCTGTAATCCCAGCTCTTTGGGAGGCCAAGGTGGGTGGATCATCTGAGGTCAGGCGACCAGCCTGGCCAACATAGTGAAATTCCATCTCTACTTTAAAAATACAAAAATTAGTCAGGTGTGGTGACATGCACCTGTAGTCTCAGCTACTCGGTAGGCTGAGGTGGAAGAATCATTTGGACCTGAGAGGCAGAGGTTGCAGTGAGCCAAGATGGTCCCACCACATTCCAGCCTGGGCGACAGAGAGTCTGTCTCAAAAAAAGAAAAATAATTGCAAATGTACAGAAAAAAATGCAAGAATAGCACAAAGGATTACCCTGTATACTTCATCTGGGCTCACCAATTTTTTATTATTTATTGAGACAGTCTCACTTTGTCACCAAGGCTGGAGTGCAATAGCGCAATCTTGGCTCACTGCTGCCTTCACCTCCTGGGTTCAAGCAATCCTCCTTACCTTGGGTGATCCGCCTGCCTCAGACTCCCAAAGTGCTGGGATTACAGGCATGAGCCACTGCACCCAGCCCAGGTTCACCAGTTATTAATATTTTGCCACATTTGCTTTTTCCCCTCTCTTTTTGTATATACACATATAAATATACATACATACACATATGTACATATGTATTATAATTTTCTGAATGATTTGAGAATTACAAATAAGTTTTCTTCCTGGATTATCATTAACCACAATAATCAAAGTGAGATTATGTGCTTGTAGCAAGAAGGAATTCTCTTGGCAAACCTCATTACTCCCTTTGTCTTAGTACATTCATAGTGCCATAACAAAATCCTATCAATTGGGTGGCTTAAACAACAGAAAATTATTTCTCACAGTTCTGGAGCCTGGAAAATCCAAGATGAATGCACTGGCAGATTTGGTGTTGGTGAGGACCTATTTCCTGGTTCATAGATGGCCATGTTTTCCTTGTGTCCTTACAGGGTAGAAGGGATGGAGGGGTGGTGTTCTCTTGGGTTTCTTTTATAAGGGCGCACTAATCCCATTAATGAGTGTTCTGTCCTTATGACCTAATCATCTGCTAAGGGGCCCACCTCCTGATATCATCACTTTTGGCCTGAAAATTTCAACATATGATTTTGGAGGGCACGTACTACCCAAGTTTCACATTTACTTTCAATATTAGCACTTGTACATCTGAGTATTTGTTGGTTGTTATATGTGGCTTGTATCTACATTTTCTTCATTTTAAAATTATTTCCACATAAAGGATAAATGTAATTAGCAAACATAAAAGACGTTTTTATTTGCATTATAAGTGGAAGTTATTTAATCTTTGTTTATAGCATATTCACTTAAAATACAGAATTCAATTGTAGGTGTTGTGAACATTTGTCAGGTTTTCTGATTTTTATTTATTTTGGGGAGGTGCCTAATATCTGAACCTCTCCTGTTGGATAGAAGGGATTCTGGGGAGAAATGATATGGATGGGGTGTTTAGAGCAGAACAATGAAAAACAGCTGAGAGTGATTTCAGATGGAAACTGCAAACAGCCTCGTCCCCCCAAAATGCCAGAAACAATCCAAATGTTTATCAGCTGGTGAGTGGATAAACAAGTGGCTACCTTCATATCCTAGAACGCTATTCAGCAACAAAAAGGAATGATAAGTGCTATAATACAGATGAACAAAAGCACTTTGCTAAATGAAAGCACCCACACAAAAAAACTACATACGGTAAGTTGATTCCATTAACAGGAAATGTCCAGAAAAGGCAAATCTATAGAAACAGGAAGTAGAATAGTGGTTCCCTGGGTGGGAAAGGGGAGTGGCCACAAATAGGCACAGAGGCCATGTTTGGGGTGATGAAAATGTTCTACGATTGCATTGTGGGATGGCTGCGCAACTCTATACACTTACTAAAAACCTTGAATTGAATACTTAGAACGAGTGGATTTTATGGTATGCAAATTATACTTCAGTAAAGCTGTTTTCAAGAAAGGAGTTATTTGGGATGGAGAAAAGGTAAAGAGCAGGTTTCTCTGCTCTTGAAATTCTGAGTACCCTTTAGTCAAATGGATATTCTATTCTGAGACTTTTTTTTTTTTTTTTTCCCTCTCAAGACAGCGTTTCGCTCTGTTGCCCAGGTTGAGTGCAGTGGTGTGATCTTGGCTCGCTGCAAATCAATCTCTTGAGCAGCTGGGTCTACAGGCACCTGCCATCATGCACGACTAATTTTTTTTTTTTTTGTATTTTTAGTAGAGATGGGGTTTTGCCATGTTGGCCAGGCTGGTCTCAAACTGTGGTCAAAAGTTATCTGCCCATCTCAGCCTCCCAAAGTGCCGGGATTACAGGCATAAGCCACAGCATCCAGCCTATTCTGAGACTGACTGAAAAAAAGAGTTTATGAAGAAGGAGATCGTGCTCTAGAGAGACCAAGTGAAAGGACAGTGCTGCGTGAGAAAGGGTACGAGGGGAGCAGGGAGAAAGGGAAACCCAGAATGTTGAGACACAAAATCTGCTGTGTCCCTCTGATGCCTGTTGTCCCTGGCTTGAAATGGCCTTTCAGAAAAGCCTTCTCTCTAATTCCACACTTAAGCTAAGGCTGTAGCCACAGAGCAGCTGCTAACCCCAAATGCTTCAGTGTGTCCCTTTCCTGACACATACACCACTCATAGTGATGTTGCCAGGTCAGCCCTGGACATTGAGAAGCAGTAATCAAGCAGCTGAACATCTGAGCTGAAGATATATAGATATATATATACAAAATTCTGCTTTATATTTAAGTTGCAGGGTACCTCAGCCAGGGTAATCTTCAGGAAAAAAAAA